GGCCGCGGGCTCCCCCGGGCGAGCGCCAGCTGGCGCGGGTGCAGCAGCGCGGGCGGCGCGGAGGGGAGGCCCGGGCGGCGTGCGTGTCTGGTGCGCCGTCGGCCCTCGGCGGTTCGGGCCCTTTCCCCCCCCCCCTCCGCCTCCGCTGCTGCCCTTTCTCTCTTCCCTCGGGCCTGGTGCGTCCGGTGCCTTGCCCGGGGGCGTGCGGACTCGCTCTCGGGGGTCTGTCCCCGATCTATCGGCGACGTATCGCCGATTCCAGGTCGATGCTTCCCCCTCCTCAGCCGGTCCCCCCCTGACGTCCCCCCACAGTCCAGGACGGGTGTTGGGGACTAGGCTAGGGGTGTGTGGATCTCATGGCCAGGGCCATGAGATCTTGTATATCATGGCCCCTCCTTTCAGTGAGTTCCCTGTGCCCCCGCCCTTGTCCGCACACATGCCTCGGACCACGATGCGATGACACCCCGTTCTTGGCCCCCTTCTCCAGCACACCCGACTTTCGCTCCCTGCCTTCCTGAAGAGACACAGGCCTCCTCGTCGCGCAAGAAAGCGTCCCGGGAGGCTTTTGGTCGTTTTCACCCCCCAGGGGCCTTCCCTCACCCGGCCCTTGGCCCGCCAAGAACGAGTCGGGATGAAGTTCCGCTCCTGTGGAATGGGCCTAGATCTCTGGGTGTCCATTCTTCGACGCTCGATCCATACCCCTGCAGTTTCCCCCCAGTCATGGCGCCAGGGGAAGCAGGGCATGGAGAAACCATGGTGCTGGCCGCCAGAATTTTACCCATGCCGCCGCTCTGGCCCCTCGTGGGGTCGGAGCGCGAGCAGGGGCATGGATAAAACTCAGGAGGGAAAGAAACAGACAGACACAATGAATCGTCGACTCCCAGGGAAATACGGGAAAGTATGGGAGGTGGGGGGGAAGACAAAAAACCGAGGAAATATGGGAAAATATGTGGAATCTAGTTATTTGTGTCTATTTATTTGTGTGTCCCAGGGCCCCTTCATGGAAGGGCGACATGGAGGCGAGGGGCTGTGTGAGGTCTGGGGGCTTGTCTGGCTCGGCGCCACGGCTTGACGCGGCTTGACGCGGCTCGGCGGTTTTGTGATCCTCGTCGCCACGGCTTGTCGCGGCTCGGCGAAATCGCGAGTATGGACCTGAGCAGGGACCCTGGGGTTCGTTTTCAGCGGGTTTTCGCCGGGGGCTGAGCTAGGCCTCCCAGACGGGGTCAGAGCAGATGGGGTCGGAGGATCCCGCCGCATCGCCGATGCATCGACGATGCGGATCGATGGGGAGCCCGATCTTCTCCACGCTGACGGCGCCGATGTATCGACGACGCCCGCCGGTGCATCGCTGGATGCGTCGCCGACGCATCGTCGATGCGTCGGCGATGCGTCGGCGATGCGGCGTGATCCTCCGACTTCTCAGACCCCCTCTGGGAGGCCTCAAGCTGGGCGAGGGGGGAGGGCGGGCACCAGATATGCACACTTTCGGGGCTCCCGGGTGCGGAGCCCCTGCGCACTGTGGTGATCCTGGGCAGCACGCGGGCCAAGCGGATCGGCGAGGCGGTCTCGCAGTACTTGGTCGCAAAGCTCGATGAGCGTGGCGGGCACTCCGTGTCGGTGCTGGATCCGAGGACGACGGAGGACGGCTTCTTCATGCGGCTGATGGAGAAGGCGTATTTCCATTACAGGTCGGGCGACGGGATCGACACATACCCACTGTTCCTGGCCAAGCCCATCATGTGACCTGGAGCGGTGAGTCTGCCTCCCCGGCCAAGCCAGGAGGGCACCTTGCTCCTGGGCCCTGCATGGACCTGACTAGGGACCGGATATGTACACACACATATATATATATATATATATATATATGTATATATATACATTTATAGATATGTATATATATCTATACCTGTTTACGTATGTATATATACATATATATATACACATTTGTTTATGTGTTTACATATATATATATATATATATACATATACATGTATATATGTATAGACTTCGTCGCCCTAACAGGGAGGGGGAGGCGGTGCCAGCGGAGCTGGAGCGCACCGCGGCCACCCTGCGGGCGGCCGACGCCTACGTCGTCTGCGCCCCAGAGATGAACCACACCATCCCGCCCGGGCTCACGAACCTCATGAACTACTTCGGCTCCTCCGTGTACAGCAGGAAGTGCAGAAGAAGTCAACCAGAGTGTGCCAACCGGGTGTCGGGCTCCCGTGAGCAGAAACCTTCGCCTTCTGATGTGCCGGCCGGGTGCCAGGTGTGCTGCTCGACCTAACGCCTGGTTGGGGAACTCTGGCCGACCACTTCTTGAAGGAAGCCCAGCGGCATCGCCACCTACTCCGCCGGGCACTGGGGCGGCGCCCGCTGCGGCGTCGCACTGCGCGCCTACCTGAGCGAGCTGGGCTGCATTCCCGTGTCGGCCACCTTCCAGCTGCCGCTGGCCTGGCGTGGCGGGACGTTCGACGAGCGGGGGCAGCTGGCGGCCGACTCCGTGGCCGCGAGGAGTGCCGACAGGATGCTGGAGCAGCTGGAGTGGCACGCCAGGGCCATGAGGGCTGCCCGCTTGGCTGAGCGCAGCGGGAGCGAGTGAGCCCTCCTCCTCCTCCTCCTCCTCCTTCTTCTCCTGCTTCAGCTCGGACGGCCAAGATGCGGCGCAGAAAGAAGCCGCAACGCACAGACAGCTGCAGCGCAAAGGAACGTGCACCGAAGGAGGAGTGTTTTTTTCTGGGCGAGGGGGCGCCGTGGGCTTCACACTCTCCCCGACCCTCTCCAAACCATTCACTTCTCACACGCGGAATCCTGAGCTCCAGCTCGGAAAGTCTCCCCAAACCATTTGTTTTACGAGCTGAAGCTCGAAAAGCCAAAGTGAAAGTTTCAGGCTTACGTTTTTGTTGTGTGGCGTCCAGCCGTGCGCTACACGGTTAATAGGTTTACTATACGAGTCCAAGGGTCGGTGTGTGTCCAGTGTCGACGTCCCCGATTGAGTGAAGCATGCTCCCGCCTCCCGCTCGTTGACGTGTGCGCGCTGCTGGAAACCGGTGTTGGCCCATAGCCTAAACATTTTCGATCGCACCATGTGGGCCGACCATGTCACCTGTTGGACGTTCGAAGGTGTTCCGCGACCCAGGTGGCGTTTCCCTCCGCCTCTCTCCTCCTCCTCCTCCTCCTCCTCCTCCTCCTCCTCCTCCTCCTCCTCCTCCTCCTCCTCCTCGTCGACCGCCGTCGTGACCTCAGGGTGGTCGCAGCCGCGCACGCGTCGCCACTGCCGTGAGGCTGCGGGGGTCCAGCCGGGGCCTCAGAGGTCGAAACCAGGCCTCGCCGCCCTGGGTAGAGCGAGTGGCCCGACGGCCGCCCCTCTCTTGAGGTCCTGGGAGGTCCAGGCGGAGTGCGGCCCCGCGCGTGTCCGGACGAGATCTCGCCTCCCCCGCCTGCCTTGGGGGGGATTTTTTTTTGGATTGGCTCCTCGTACCTTGGGGGGGGTGAGGGAGGGGGGCGGGGGAGCTGCGACCTTCGGCGGCGCGCCGAGGGGGGAAGCGAGAGGGGGCAGGCCTCCTCAGAGGGCTGCTCCCCCTCCTGCCGCTCCTCCTCCTCCTCCTCCTCCTGCTCCTTCTGTTCCTCCTGCTCCTGCTCCTGCTCCTGCTCCTGCTCCTGCTCCTGCTCTTCCTCCTCCTCCTCCTCCTCCTCGGCGGGGCTGCGGAGCAGGCTCGGAGGGAACTTCTCTCCGAAGCCGGGAGGCCCTCTGAGCTCTCTCTCCGCTCCCGGGCGCGCCGCCGGGCACCTGCCAGCACGCGTCGCCTGCAGCCCTGCCGCCGCTGCAGGCCGAGGCGCCGGCCCCCGCGCGGTGGCCGGCGCCAGGCCGACGAGAGGCTCGCTGGCGGGCCCCCCTTGCGGTGGCGTTCTCGGGCCCCGAGCACTCGGGCCTCCCCAGACATCGGGCGTCTCGAAAACATCGAGACGAGGGTTGTTCGTAGTTTTTGGCCTCTCGGGGCCCTCACCGGGCCTCGGGACCGTCAAATCACGACTCGGGACGAAGAACAGGTCCCAGGGAAGTGGTTTCAGGTCGGGGGCCTGCGCCTCGGAAAAATCGAGACAACAGATGTCTGGGTCCAGCGCTCGGCTGGGACGCTCCCGGCACCCCTGGGAGCGCTCTCGGCGAGGCTCGGGGGCTCCCAGATGGGGTGGTGACTACGCCGTGCGGTGAGCCGGTGGGGATTCGGGGTCACCGCACGGCTTCGGGGCTCGGGTCGTTCTCCGAGGGCGTCCCGGGCGACCTGGGGCATCCGAGATCCCAGAGCCGTGCGTGGACGGACCGTGCGGTGAGGTCTTTGGGGTGATTTTCGAGGTCACCGCCCGGTCCGTCACCGCACCGCTTCGGGAAAGGAGGCGCAGCTGCTGGTAGGCATCCCGTGGCGGGAAGGCTGCCGAGAGCCGACGAGACGCACGACAGCCTCGATCTGCGCAGCTCGTCTCCGCTCGGAGCCCATCGCCCCCTCTGCCCCCCTGCCCTCCTGCCCCAGGGGTTTGACGACGTTTCGCCCGTCGACTTGTGGGTATCCAGCCGTGGGGGAACAAAAATCGACATAAACATAAAAACTCGGAGGTCCGCGCGGATTTCTCGGATCGGCGCTGGGGCCCCCCGGCGGCGCCTCCGGCGCCGCCCCTGGCGCGCTCCGCGCGCCAGGGAGGGGGTTCCAGCGCCGATCCGAGAAATCCGCGCGGACCTCCGAGTTTTTATGTTTATGCCACTTTTTGTTCCCCTACTCCTGCCCCAGGGGTTTGACGTTTCGCTAGTCGACTTGTGGGTATCCAGCCGAGCGAACCACTGCAGTTGCAGATCTGTCGGGACAGATCTAGGCAAATCCTGGCCAGTCCATGCCGATCCATGCAAGTCCAGAGATCTCCAGGGAGGCTTGAAGAGCCAATCGTGGCCGCTCCGGCGCGAGTCGAAGGACGGCACACGCTGTGAAGCCCCTGACGACGGCGGCGCCATGCGCGGCGCTCTGGCGGCGGGCTCCCTCGGCCGCCTCCTGGCGCGCCCAGGCGACGGCCCGCTGACCAGCGTGGCCGCCTGCCTGGGCGGCGCCGCCGCCGCCGAGATGCTTCCGGCCGCCGCGGCCTGCCGCCGGCCCTCCCTCTCAGACTCGGCGCGATCGAGAGGGGCACGCAGATGGAGCATCACACGTTCTTGTGGCTACTGGTGGCCATACGAACGTGTGATGCTCCATCTGAGCGATGCGTGTGTGTGTGCGTGTGCGTGTGCGTGTGTGTGTGTGTGTGTGTGTGTGTGTGTGTGTTTGTGTTTGTGTTTGTGTTTGTGTTTGTGTTTGTGTTTGTGTTTTTGTGTGTGTGTGTGTGTTTGTGTGTATGTATGTATGTGTGTATGTGTGTGTTGTGTTGTGTTGTGTTGTGTTGTGTTGTGTTGTGTTGTGTTGTGTTGTGCTGTGCTGTGCTGTGTTGTGTTGTGTTGTGTGTTGTGTGTTGTGTGTGTATGTGGGCAGGATTTGTGCCCTCCCCCTGGCTCCGAGCATCGAGTGAGAAATGCGATCATCACGTGAAGATCGGTCTGAATTCTGTTTTTGGCCAGATAGTTGCGTACGCGGCTTCAGCACAAGCGGGAGAGACGGGTTTGCAGCAGCAGCGCTTCCCCACCTCCACAGCCATTTGCCTCGGACGCTCCACAGAGGGCCGTGCGAGCAGCGCGCATTTTGCACTGTACGCGCGTTGAGTCTTGGAAAAAGGTCATGGTGTGAAGACTCCGGCGGCGGAGTCCGAGCCCTGCGCTCGCCGATCAAAGATTCAGGCAACTCGACGGGCGGCAGGGGCAGGGCTCGGAATTCGTCAGACACGTGGCGAAGTCCGACCCCGTACCCCCCGCCTCCCATCGACTCACGAGAAGCGATGGTTGCTGGGGGGTCGGGCTCGGACGCCGCTGTCTAGTAGACGAAGGCTGACAACCAAGTCCTATCCATTCTGAACAGGGCTCGATGGCGATGCCGCCGCGGGCGTGGTCCGTTCGAGACAGGAGGCTGCCTGCCCAACAGCGGCCGCTGTCGGTTCTGGACGACATTTGCCGTTCGGCATCGTACCCATGTTTGTCCGTACCCATTTCGGGGGTCCGAACAGACGAGCAACGACATGACGATGGACATGTTTTCTCCCAGATGGGTGCTGCCTGAGTCAGCCTGGGTGCCAGAGCGGTCTCTGGTCTGTTCTGGCGTTTTTGCTGGTTCTTCCAAGGTTTCCCGCTCCGGGATGCGCTCTAGCAGCTGCACCTCGCCGAGAGTTGTTTGGGGTGTCCGAGTCGTCCCGGACGGCCGCCGGATGCCTGAGGTACGGCCCGAGCGCCGAGTGGACCAAGATCGCCATGAAACAACCTTGCCCTGAAGTGAACGCGTCCCGAGTTTTTTTTTTTTTTTTTGCCGTTTTCGAGCCCCCTGGGCCGTCCCCGTCCCTGGGCATGGTCGGACGAAAGGGGTGGTCAGGGAAGAAGTGTGTGTGTGTGTGTGTGTGTGCGTGTGTGTGTGTGTGTGTGTGCGTGTGTGTGTGTGTGTGTGTGTGTGTGTGTGTGTGTGTGTGCGTGTGTGTGTGTGTGTGTGTGTGTGTGTGTGTGTGTGTGTGTGTGTGTGCGTGTGTGTGTGTCTGTGTGTGTCTGTGTGTGTCTGTGTGTGCGTGTGCGTGGTGCGTGTGCGTGTGCGTTTGCGAAGCCTGCGGCGCGCCGCGGGCTTCGGACCCGCCGCTGGGCGCCTTCCTCGGTGCACGGGCGCCTTCCTCGGCGCCCGTGGGGCGGCGAGAGAACCGGCTGAGCCGCAGCGTGAGCTGGTTCGCCCCGTTCCCACTTCCACCACATCCCCCTTGCCGAAAGTCGGGCCTGTCCCTCTACAGGGGGAAAATTCAAAAATAGTAAAAAACTAGTCAGGGGACTATTGTTCCATTTTGTTTCTGCATATTTTGGAACAGTTTTTGGGTATCTTTAATTTGTTCGCCCAAAATCCCCCTGTAGGGGGACAGGCACGACTTAACCCTTGCCTTTCCCAGCCCCCCCCTTCGTCCGACCCGGCCCCAGGGCCGTCGAGAAAGGAATCGGGGTGAGGAGCTGGCCCCTCGAGTCCTGTAAAGCTGCATGCGCGCAAGGTCTGGGAGGTCGGCGCGGATTCGTCTGGAGCGGCGCTGAAGGCACCTGCCCGGCGCGGGAACCGCAGGCGGGGCAGACCTCTGAGTTTTTGTGGTCGCGGCGCCTCTTGCTCCTGGAGGCCCCAGGGGAAGCCCCGGGGGTCCCCGGGGCCGCCTTTTTTCGGGAGCACCCCCCGCCCTTCGTGCCGAGGCTCGCCGCCGCCTGCGCGCTGGAGCTCCAGAGGCGCGCGGCCGCCTCAGGGGCGCTGTCGCTGAGGGAGGCGACTCGGAGGGCCCGGCCCCCCGCCCCCCCTCGTGGTGACAGATGCGGGGGACGGGAGCACGGCCGCGAAGCCGTGTCTTGCCACCGCCGCTGCGCACATGATCGTGGACGTTCTGCGGGTTCGGTTCGCCAGCGTGGGGCGTCCGACAGCACATGCGCACTGTGCTTCGGGCGGAGGGCCGCGCACTATGGTTCTAGGCCTCCTAGATGGTGTCGGAGTAGATGGGGTCGGAGGATCGCGCCGCATCTCCGATGTATCGCCGATGCGGCTTGATGTGCAGCCCGATTTGCTTCACGTCGACGTCGCCAATGCATCGCCGACGTCGGCGATGCATCGCTGGTGCATCGCCGATGCATCACCGATGCATCGCCGATGTATCGCCGATGCATTGGCGATGCGGCGCGATCCTCCGACCCGATCTACTCGAACCCCATCTAGGAGGCCTCTCATGCTGTACACGTGCACGGCTCCCAACACACACACACACACACACGCACGCACGCACGCACGCACGCACGCCACCCCCACCCACGCACGAACGCACGCACGCACGCACGCACGCACGCACGCACGCACGCACGCACGCACGCACGCACGCACGCACGCACG